TAAATTTATAAATTATTAACAAAACTTCCAAATGTATTATTGAAAAAGTACTTTATGGTCAATATTCTTTAACTTCAGTGAAAATATATCTTCATTTGCAGGAAATGACTGTATAACAAAATAACCAGTTAATTATATAACATAACAATTTTTAATATTTTGAGTAACGATATGGACAGAAATATGATTAAAAACATTTGAATGACCAGAAATGAATGTATACTTTATTCAGATGTTGATATACAAATAAAAAATTTCATTATTTCATAATTGTTGTAAAATTAGCATTACCGACATTAGTTTTTATCTCATCAATATGTCATATATCACACACTGTGTATATTGGTAATGATTTATTCAGAACATCAATCAAAAAATGGTCATGAAATGGTTCCTGATTGATTATTTTGTTATATTCAGAAATCAGTACTTATTTAGTAGCTATTTCCATTTTGTATTATTTTCCTGTTTTGCTTTAAGTTTTCAATCATTATATATATTTCTGTAGAGAGATCGTAAAAGTGAAAATGCAAAACCACCTTGCGTGATTGTGAAAAGTGTAAAATCATTACAGACTAGAATCATATTGGTAATCTGTAAAAACATTACATGCATACATCATGTCTGTAACATTACAGGCTTACATCAACATCTTGTTGGTAACTGTATATCAGTACAGGCTAACATCATTTTAGTAAAATTACAGGCTTACATCAACATAATGTTAATAAACTGTAAAATCATTACAGGCTAACATCATGTTAGGAAACAGTAAATCATAACAGATTCACATGATTTTAGTAAACTGACAAATCATAACAGGCTAACATGATGTTGGTAAACTGTAAATCATAACTTGTTAACATGATGTTAGTAAACTGTAAATCATAACATGCTAACATCATGTTAGTAAACTGTAAAATCATTACATGCATACATCATGTTAGTAACATTATGTTAATAAACTGTAAAATCAATACAGGCTAACATCATGTTAGTAAACTGTAAGATCATTACAGGCTAACATCATGTTAGTAAACTGTAAAATCATTACAGACATTTATCATGTTAGTAAACTGTAAGATCATTACAGACATTCATCATGTTTGTAAACTGTAAAATCATTACAGGCTAATATCATGTTAGTAAACTGTAAAATCATTACAGACATTTATCATGTTAGTAAACTGTAAGATCATTACAGACATTCATCATGTTTGTAAAATGCAAAATCATTACAGGCTAACATCATGTTAGTAAACTGTAAAATCATTACAGGCTAACATCATGTTAGTAAACTAAAATCATTACATGCGTACATCATGTTTGTAAGCTGTAAAATCATTACATGCGTACATCATGTTAGTAAACTGTAAATCATAACAGGCTAACATCATGTTAGTAAGACGTAAAATCATTACATGCGTACATCACGTTAGTAACATTATGTTAGTAAACTGTAAAATCATTACAGGCTAACAATATGTTTGTAAACTGTAAAATCATTACAGGATAACATCATGTTAGTAAACTGTAAAATCATTACAGACATTTATCATGTTAGTAAACTGTAAGATCATTACAGACATTCATCATGTTTGTAAAATGCAAAATCATTACAGGCTAACATCATGTTAGTAAACTGTAAAATCATTACAGGCTAACATCATGTTAGTAAACTAAAATCATTACATGCGTACATCATGTTTGTAAGCTGTAAAATCATTACATGCGTACATCATGTTAGTAAACTGTAAATCATAACAGGCTAACATCATGTTAGTAAGACGTAAAATCATTACATGCGTACATCACGTTAGTAACATTATGTTAGTAAACTGTAAAATCATTACAGGCTAACAATATGTTTGTAAACTGTAAAATCATTACAGGATAACATCATGTTAGTAAACTGTAAAATCATTACAGACATTTATCATGTTAGTAAACTGTAAGATCATTACAGACATTCATCATGTTTGTAAAATGCAAAATCATTACAGGCTAACATCATGTTAGTAAACTGTAAAATCATTACAGGCTAACATCATGTTAGTAAACTAAAATCATTACATGCGTACATCATGTTTGTAAGCTGTAAAATCATTACATGCGTACATCATGTTAGTAAACTGTAAATCATAACAGGCTAACATCATGTTAGTAAGACGTAAAATCATTACATGCGTACATCACGTTAGTAACATTATGTTAGTATACTGTAAAATCATTACAGGCCAACAATATGTATGTAAACTGTAAAATCAATACAGGCTAACATTATGTTTGTAAACTGTAAAATCATTACAGGCTAACATTATGTTTGTAAACTGTAAAATCATTACAGGCTAACATTATGTTAGTAAACTGTAAAATCGTTACAGCTAACATTATGTTAGTAACATTATGTTAGTAAACTGTAAAATCATGTAAACTATAAAATCATTACAGGCTAGCAATATGTTTGTAAACTCAAAAATCATTACAGGCTAACGTCATGTTTGTAAACTGTAAATCATTACGGGCTAACATCAAGTTAGTAAACTGTAAAACCATTGTAAAATCATTACAGGCTAACATTATGTTAGTAAACTGTAAAATCATTACAGGTTAACATTATGTTAGTAAACTGTAAAATCATTACAGGATAACATCATGTTAGTTAACTGTAAATCATTACACGGGCTAACATCAAGTTAGCAAACTGTAAAATCATAACAGGTTAACATGATGTTAGTTAATTGTTTAATCATTACTGCCTTATATCACACATCGTGCACTTTTGTAAGCAGATGAATAAAAGATGGATATTTATCATAAGATATTTGAGGTTTATAATGGTGTGTGAAACTTAAGACCAATTAATATTCAAACATATCAGTTATATTATAGAATTTGTATCTCATATTCATTTAATCAGCACAGCAGTTTTTATATTGCTGATATCAGTTTTATATTTGATAAAGTTCACCAGATAAGAATTAAAAATATTAATTGTTTGCTTTTCAAAAATTAAGAATTATTCAAAAAAGAAACTTCAATTTGTATATCATTTTATTTTCTTTAGCATTAAAAGATCATGTATAGCATTATTTCAATATAAAACTTGCCCCTGTTTCTTAGATAATTTGTCTGAATTAAGTGTAAGCAAATTTTTGTTCTGAGATTTCTACTAAAGCTGTATTGTTGAAAACCCCACTCAGGTTACTTAAGGTTAAACATCGATCAAATTAGTTAATAAAACTTTATTTAGTGTTTAGTCAATCAGGTATTAGTAAATAGAACACTGTAATCGAAGGTTGGGTTTTCAAGAATAAGGCAATTTTTAAAACTTGTAAAAAGATGTTGATAAAATTAAAATAATAGTAATTATTAATGTATATATTGTACAGAGAATGTTAAGTTTTTATTTTAGTCACCAAAATATGTTCACACTTATATTTTAGATTATGCAATCACTTGTAGAAAATGGGTGGATGTAACAGTCAACAAATTGCAACTTGAGCAAAATATTTTATACTTTTTATGAACTGTGTTGAATGTTCAGTTTAACATGCAAATTTTTGAAGAATGTTACCATAGTTTTTGTTGAGTTTTTGTTATAGTATAGTCAAGAACTATGAAGTAAGTGGGAGTTCTGGGTTAATAGATTTTTAATTCCACCCATAATTTACCTATAGTTGTCATGGTATTATTATGTACAGTTCTGACTCTGGTTAATGGATAAATTGTATATTATTTGATTCAATTCTAGGTCTGTGATATTTTTACTATATTATTGCAATATGTGCTTCATTTGAACTATATTTTCCTTTGTTTGCATAGACATAACAAGCTTAATGAGAATAGATCTATACATAACTAGTTTTATATGTGCTTAACTTTTATTCAATAAAAGATGATATTTGAAATAAAATAGTTTTGTATTTATTGTTGTTCCTTCAACATGAAATATACAATGAAGTTGATATTTAGTGCTGGTAAGAGTACCTAGACCTCAGTGCTTCCCAAATTTAAGTTTGTAAATGGCCTTTCTTTGGTTAAGTATTATAGATAAATCTAATTTCATAACTTTACGTTTGTAAATTTCTCTTTTAATTACTAATCAATCGTCCTATATCCAGAATTGAAACAAGCAACTGAATTTCTATCAGTTATTTCTCCTCGAACATGAAATACTGCAACTTGAGACAGTATTGATCTTCAAACACTATAATCTAAAAGTACAATAAAATAACTAGGTCTATTGGAGATTATCTATTGATAAAATGATCAGTGTTCAATTACTCTGACTCATTAGATCCACAAGGTCACCAGTAAATGTGGCAAATATCAGTCTAACTCTCAATAAATTACCGCAACAACCTTACATTTATGCAAATGACATGAAGCAATGAAGTAGGTATGTGCTCTAGTCAACCTGTAGATTCAATAGTTTATCATATTAGAGATGCATGAAGCTACAAAGCCATTGGAAAGATGCAGAGATCACAGGTTACACCTGATTGTAGTTTGCTCTAAAGGTATTTTTTTTTTCATCAAAAACAGGTTTGTAACTTTGATTTTATGGAAAAGCAAAGATCTTAATAGTAGAGCCTTATATTTGTGGTCTAAGGGAAATAACTCTTTATTATTGGACCTAATTTTTATCAGACTACAGTTGTATCTCGTCTTGTAAAAATCGTTAATTTTCGGCAAGGTTTATTTACAAGAAAAAAAAACAATTTCAATTAAATAAATGATCAATTGAACAAAACCACAGCTTTAGTTGCTAACTGAAATAGCCTCTAGTCTGAGGCTTCAAATTTATCCAAGTCGTCAAATTCTAAACCAAGATATGTATCACTGATACTTGCTCGTCGTTTAAATATACTGCTACAAATCGATTCAGTTCTGGAGAAACGCCTCTTTCGTAGCGTTTCTGTTGATGACGGCAAGGATGGGATAGATGGACTGATGTTTCTTTCTGCTCTATCCATTGCACTAAGATCTGACATTAATATTGGATACGTCAAATGAAAATGTTCATAATCCACATAATTTTCACCAACATAATCAGTTGTAACACCTAAAGCATGGAATCTTCTCCCCCATTTGAAATCACAAGGTGCATAAGCTTTCTTCGCTTGAAATGCCATACTCGTAGAAGAGGCGATTCCCTCTAACATGAAAATCATTTCAAAGTTTTCTAATTCTAAATCTTCTTTAGAAACTTCCCACAATGGCGAATCCTCATTGATATCATGGATGATTAGCGATGGCCATGGTAGAAATAATTGTTCGGTTCCGTTTTCAGACTTGAAACGTAGAGTGTAGTAACTGACTGGGATGGTTCCACGTTTTGATTTAAATTTCTGTATCAAATATCCTCTTACGTGTGCGGCAGTTATTCTAGATTTCCTCATATCACCCACTCTAATCACCAACTTCATCCCATCATCCTCTTCGTATATACAGGCAACATTACTAAACAATATGGTACCAGTTCTCTTCTTGGCTCTTCTAATCTTTGCGACCACCAACCCAGCTAATGCTAACTGAAGAGCTGCTCCTATGATTGACTGCACCAAAACACCAATATAAGCTCCCGGACAGGCTTCAGTCACAAATCTGGAACCGTATCCAATGGTGGTCATTGTTTCGATTGAGAACAAAAAGGAAGAAGCAAATGAATGAATATTGGTGACACATGGATTACGTTCTTCAAGTGTATGGGAATCTAGATCACCATTTAAATCAGCAAGCATAAAATAAAAGGAAGCAAACACTAACCAACTGATTACAAAGGTACCAGCAAACATCAACAAATTCCATCGCCATTGTATGTCTATCAGAGTTGTGCATAAGTCTTTAAGGTAACTGTATAATTTGTCTGGTACACTCACTGATATAACGTTCTGATCTCCACTTTTGCTGACTATACTACCTGTTTCAGATATCTTCCTGGATCTAAGCATTCTGACATTCACAACTCATTATCTGAACAACTTTGTTTCAGGTCTATATGTGATAGGTATCTGGAAAAAGTGATAAACATGTTTCATATCAAATCAAATAGACAGTCCATATTTCTAGTTTCGTGACCGCAAACAAGTGTCTTAATTTTCAACTGTGTACATCATTTCTTAAAGAGAAAGCATCAAGCCTTGAAATTTATTCATTAAATACTTGTTTTCATATGAAGTGTCTTCTTACCTGAATTTGCATGAATTTAAAGCCAGTACAATATTAGATTGAGGGTAGAAAATAAACGGGTTTATGAAATGTTAAAAAGCTATGAAAGTGTCAGTGATAAATTATGGTAGCCTACGATGTCAACTTGATCTATTGTTTTTAAAGTTGACATGGTGTTTTGTATATGAAAGGACTAAGATTTTATTTTGACATACTATATTTTAGCTTAGGGATACACAATGATTTTTTCCGGAGACAATGACTTTGAAAGGTGTCGGGACTGTTTAAGTCGACCCTTTGAGTAACTTTCAACTGCTAACAACTTGCAGCCAGTTGCCATTATTGCCTTCTTTAGAATCGGTGACGATCCATTTGTAAGGCAAATATACACGTACATTTTTTCTACAGAAAACAGATCAAGTCTAGATTCTATATTTTACGGCATGATACTGTGATAGGCGTAGGCCTGCTGTATATTTATGGCCTATATATATGTGCTCTTCCTCCTCCTTTTTATGAAGTCTTTTGGGGGGGGGGGGGGGGGGGTGGTGGGGGGTGTTGGGTTAGATTTAAACTACTTTAATGTCTTCTCTTTCACTGGTCAAAGACAAAACAAAATGTTGACAAGCGCGAGATAGGATCTTAATACTGAAAAGTATTATGGGTAACTGAAAATAAGTTGTATCAGCTGTTAAAGTAGGCTGTACTAGATTAGACGAATATTAGGTGGCATAAAACAGGCTTTGGCAAGTTTACAGGATTGGACTAATACTCTGTTATCCAACTTTCGATTATAGATCCATAAAAAGTACATGTATGGCTTTATTAATTAAATATACTGTAGGCAGATTATCTCGGTCCTTACTTTACAAGACGGTCTCAGAGACAGACTAGAAAATTAGAGTCTCTTCGTAAGGGATTTAATTTGGATAAATCTAATTAAGAAAGAAGAAAAGTAGAACTTTATCCAATCAGTATTGGCAAGCAAGATTGGAGGTGAAGGTCTAATCCTAGTCCACATACTTGGGTAGGCCTAATGTCTTGTAATAGACTAGGCCTTTTTTAAAAACGCCCAGTTCACGTGACCCTAGCTATTTCGGATTACTACACAATTATGATTGCATAAAAGCCATAGAGACAATGAATATACTAGCTCATTTGAAATTTTCCACAATGAAAGTCATCTAGATAAGGCGATAGTGTAAAAATGGTGTAATAATAAAATCCCTAAGGCTTATGAAGTTAATGTTGTAATATTAGATAAAATTACATATCATCGAGTTGCCTCCCTTTCGTTATTTCTTCAATACAAAAGACGAGTTTAGGTTGCCGTGACGTCACTCCTCAAGACAACATCGACGACCTGAAGCATGTCTCACGTGCTGAAAGACGCTGCTCAAAAGGTAATCTATGGAAATTTTGAAATCAAAGCACTAAGAAACATTAATACAAATGTTGGCCTTCAATTTAGCCTCTTTTAGTTCGTGCTTTATCCCAAGTTTTTGGAACGAAACGCACTTACTTCGTTGCCAGCTGAGAAGTCTTTGTGAAGGTCAATAATGTAAAATTCGCGAAGAAACTGTCAAATGTTGTTTGATTTGAACAAAAAAGAGAGAACAATAAATTATTCGTACATAATTTTAAATAATATCAGTGTATTTTGTTGAACATGTGTTCATCACAATAATGATTGCATCAAAGGAAACCATGATGGCATGAATGCACCAATTACACTCATGAATTATTATTTATAATTTAATACTATTATTATAATTTATTAGCCTAGTCTTTGTGGTGAATTATTGTTACAAAGTACAAATGTATTCTTGGACTTTACACTTCTAAGTACTTACTCATATACAATACTAAAAGTCTTATTAGAAACCAGTACCGAAACACTCTTAGTTAATTGGAGTATGGTACTATCTCAATTTTATATTTTGATCTCTCTTTCAGAGTGCCCGATTAGTGGGCTTAACTAGACAATGTCGACTCTTTCACTCCACCAACGCTTCAGCTCAGAAGGTGCGTAGGGATTTATTATATTGTGAAAAATAATGTTATCAAATACTGGTTTTAATTTCCAATTCTGGTTGGAGAGTATGTGGTCTTTATTGTTGCAATCATCCAAAAGCTATCGTCACGCAAAGGACAATTTTTTTTTCAAATTGTAGAAGTTCCTTTTTTTAAGGGATAGTAAAGAGGTTTTAAAAAAAAATTGTATGAGTACTGGGGACATTGATAGCTTGAAGTTGCACCATTCAAATTGCAGGAACCACAGACCTCTGACTGAAAATTTGAATGGTGCAAATTGATGCTGTCAGTGTCCCCACATAAAAAATTTAGAAAACCTTAGCAATCCCTTTTAAGCTTAAGTTCCAAGGGTGATTGCTGGATTTCCTTGGAATGCTGATCCTGCTGATTAAGCTTAAGGATTTACTTGCTTTAATTCTTGTTCTGGTTTATGGTTAATACCATTTACTTAATGACACTTTATGAATTTTTCAGGTGTTGATGAGCCGGATGGAAAGGGATAATTTCTTGGATTATGATAAAATGGAAAATAGATTAAATATTGTTAAGAGTAGGTTAAGCAGACCACTTACACTTTCGGAGAAAATCGTCTACAGTCATTTAGATGATCCTAAAAATCAAGTAAGTTTTTGTTTCCCTCCAGATTGTGATCTATCGGTATCTTAATTGTATCCCTTTTATGTTTTCATGAAATTTAAGGGACAGGTTCCCAATTTTTTTTATCCATCGTATCTTAGTCTGGGAAATAGGAATTTTTAAGTTAAGGTAATCTGTAACAGTATTCACAGCTCACTACAAAATTTGAGCCTTCAAATCCATATCTGTTCAGAATTATAATTAAAAAGAAGACTTGTCTTATCTTGTGCTCTGTCATATAGAAAAGACGCTTATAGAATTAGAGAAATTCCTTTTAATGAAGATTTCTTTTTTAGAATTTGTGATTTCCAGAACTCAATTAGTTTCAATTAATTTCATTATTGTATTTATCACAGGAGATTAAAAGAGGTGAGAGTTATTTAAAATTAAGACCTGATAGAGTTGCTATGCAAGATGCCACTGCACAGGTTTGTTGAATTGTTATATTTTATATATTCCTCTTTGAAAAATGACAAATAGTAGGCTGCTATATCAATTGACTTTGATTTACATTCAGTTTAGTAATTAATGTATTAGGAAATGCAAGTTGAAAAAATAATTCAAACAAGTTACTGATACTGAATAGATTTTCATTCTGGTTGAATTTATTTTTTGTCTCTTTCTGGTTTTCTCAGTATTTCATTTCTTGTTTTGTAGATGGCGATGTTACAATTTATATCCAGTGGTCTGCCTAAAGTAGCTGTACCTTCTACTATTCATTGTGATCATTTAATAGAGGCACAGCTTGGTGGAGAAAAAGATTTATCTAGAGCCAAGGTGAGATTAAAGTTTTTGGAATTTCTACTATCAGTAGATTGTGCATGTAACATTTATCATATTTGACTGTATTATGGTAGTATTTAAACACAGTTGTTCAAGTCATGATAATTGTTATAACAATCAATTCACAAATATGGTCTGTGTTTTATCTTTGCTATATTAATGTATTGTAAAGATTAAACTAATTATTTAATGTAAAGATTTGTCAGACCTATAGAAAGTATATAGAGTAGCTAACAGGTGTGTAAAAACATACAGTATAGTTTCTACATGTATTATGCTGCTTACATTCACTTATTTAAGATTGGAGTCAAAGATGTCAACAAAATTGTTATCTATGCCTTCAAATGTCTCTTTGAAATTTATAGAGAAGAGATTTTATTTATATATTGTTGCTTGCTTAATAAGAATGGCTTAAACTATTTAAGGATATCAATAAAGAAGTGTATGATTTCTTGGCATCTGCTGGTGCTAAATATGGTGTTGGTTTCTGGAAGCCTGGTAGTGGTATTATTCATCAAATTATTTTAGAAAATTATGCTTTTCCTGGTGTTTTGTTGATTGGTACTGACAGTCACACTCCAAATGGAGGTAGGTAATTCATTTCTCTAATATACCAAAACAAATTTCTTCTAGAATTTATTTTATCAGTAATTTTCTCATGTTGATTGGTAATAAGTGATTTTTTGTACATTTAGGTGGTTTAGGTGGTGTTTGTATAGGTGTTGGAGGAGCTGATGCTGTAGATGTCATGGCTGATATTCCTTGGGAGTTAAAATGTCCAAAGGTGGGTTAATTCATAATTCCCTTTCTGTGTTCTCTACAGTTAATTTTGTTGCCATGTCTCTTTTGTTTGTGTCATCAAGAATTAACATATAACCTTGTCATGTGTGTATGATAATAATGCTCATGTAAATCTCAATTTCAATTATTCAAAATGTCTGTATAAAGAAGTGGTATGCTGGTCAGTTTGTCTTTTTTTCTCAAATGCAGGTTCATTTTACCATGTGGTGTTATTGCATGTGATTCTTGCTGTATTAAGTAATATAAGGCAAGTAGATGTTTGTCATAGTGGGTACTTCTAACATGGTAGCTGCTGTCAAAGTGTTTATATGAATAAAGAATAATTTGGTTTGTTAATTTAGGTTATTGGAGTAAAATTAACAGGCAAACTGAAAGGTTGGACGTCACCTAAAGATGTTATTCTAAAAGTAGCAGGAATCTTAACCGTGAAAGGTGGAACTGGTGCCATTGTTGAATATTTTGGTCCTGGTGTTGATTCCATTTCTTGTACAGGTATGTTTTATATTCACCAATTTGGAATAAATTGATGTTTTTTATCAAAATTGAAAATATTTTGAGTTATTGCCCTTGATTGGTAATATTTGAAAGCACATTAAAATCAATGTATTAAGCTCTCAAATAGGCTAAGGCCGATGTCTTAGAAGTCAACTAATTTGTTGCCATGATAAGCAGAACTTTGGAAAGTGGTTTTATAATGTATGATAAATTGAACAATATCACTCTTATATTGAAATATATATATATATATATATATTATTCAGGTATGGGAACAATCTGTAACATGGGAGCTGAGATAGGAGCCACAACCTCAGTATTTCCCTACAATCATAGAATGGAAGATTATTTAAAGGCAACTAATAGAGCAGGTAATAGTGATATGAAGGCTATTGATTGTAGTATATAGATGTTACTTTATATATTTGTTGAAATTATGTATAATTGTGCAAGTTGGTTATGATTCAAAACATAAACACTAGTGTTCTATTTTTGTTAGGAAATATTTTTTTAATTTGTACAGTGCTCTGTTTGACATATGCTCTCAATAACTATTTATTCTACTCACAAATAAAATGGGCTGTTTGTGTTTATGTTTTGATTCAGACTGAAAGGTCTGTGCTTTCTGCACATATCTTTGCTTTTTCATGACTATGGTCTGTGTTTTATCTTTGCTATATTAATGTATTGTAAAGATTAAACTAATTATTTTATGTAAAGATTTGTCAGACCTATAGAAAGTATATAGAGTAGCTAACAGGTGTGTAAAAACATACAGTATAGTTTCTACATGTATTATGCTGCTTACATTCACTTATTTTAAGATCCAGGTTAAGTTATCTCCTATTTTCTCTTATCTTTGTACTGAGGAAAACATAAGTGTGATTGATTTACAGCTTAAAAGATTATTTGTTATGCTCTGTTTCTTGCAGATATTGCTGATTTAGCCAATAATTATAAAGGATTATTAACAGCTGATATCAAAGCTGAATATGATCAAGTTATAGAAATAGATCTTGATACTGTAAGTTTTCTTTATTTCAAATAATCCCAAAATATAATGAAGTTGTTTTATGATTATGTCATTTTGACCTATTTATTCTGTTTTCTGTTTCAGCTCGAGCCACATGTCAACGGTCCATTCACCCCAGATTTAGCTAACCCTGTATCTCAACTAGGTAAAATAGCCCAAGAAAAAGGTTGGCCTCTTGATATTAAAGTTGGTGAGTAGATTAATGTTGATAATTAAAATATTATACCAAATCTCTAAGGAATTGTATAACATACAATTTGTTGACAGATTTTTTTCTACAGAGTTATTGTCAGTGGAAGATAGAACTTACTGAATCTAGGTAGACATAGATTTTTGGTTCATTGAAATGTTTTTGCTGTTGGTAGCATGTGTGTAATTTTTGTAGGTTTATTAGTGTTTCTCGTAATTTTTAATAATGCGAAATAGTTCTTCTGAAAATTTCAACTAAGTATGTTGATTGGTATTGTAGGTTTAATTGGTAGTTGTACCAACAGTAGTTATGAAGATATGTCTAGATCAGCTAGTATAGCCAAACAAGCTTTAAAACATGGTATTAAATCTAAAGCAGCATTTACTATTACACCAGGCTCTGAACAAATAAGAGCTACTATTGAAAGAGATGGTCAGGTATGTTCTTTATATTGATTCTTTTTCGGTTTTAAAGAAGAAATAATTTGGTTATTGCAGGGATGACAACTTAGGTCCATTAGAATCCCATCTACAGAAAGTCTCTTATTGATTGTGCTACTGCCTGTCTTTAGTTGATTTCTCAGACTCTGCCCATCAAAATTAGGTTCAAAATATTTGAAATCAATAAGAACAGAACTGGAAATCCATTTAATATCCACTTGTATAGTCTGAAAATGTCATGTTTTATATGGCATAATGTATTGTAACCAATGATATTTGATTGTAGGCTCAAGCGTTAAGAGAAATTGGTGGTATTGTATTAGCTAATGCCTGTGGTCCATGTATCGGTCAATGGGATAGGAAAGATGTGAAGAAAGGAGAAAAAAATACAATTGTTACCTCATATAATAGAAATTTTACTGGTCGTAATGATGCTAATCCTGCAACTCATGCCTTTGTTACCTCCCCTGAATTAGTAACTGCCATGTCTATTGCTGGAGATTTAGGATTTGATCCAAGAAGAGATGAACTTACTGGTTCTGATGGTAAGTAATGGCTGGCTTTATGTTTTATACTAAAATATGTTTAGTTCAAATTATTGGTTAAATAGAAAGTGTGTTATTCACATATTCCAACTTGGGGTTAAACTGACCACATGTTAGTTTTATGAATATCTTATATCTACCCTACACCAAATCATAATATAATACCTATTGTACCCCTATTATGACGTTCAATTCTTTCAGGTACTAAATTCAAGCTTGAATCACCCTATGGTGATGAGTTACCATCTAAAGGATTTGATCCTGGACAAGATACATACCAGCCCCCACCTAAAGATGGCAGTAATTTGTCTGTTAATGTTTCACCTGGTAGTAATAGATTACAATTATTAAAACCATTTGATAAATGGAGTGGTAAAGATATTACTGATATGGTAGTTTTGATTAAGGTAACATATCCTCAAGTATCTTTCTTAGTATATTTCTGGAACCAATTTGGCTTGACGACTTTCTCCCTAATGGTAGATCTTGAACAGTTAGCCATGCAGGGCGGAAGAGCAAACATGGGAAGAACAGATTGTAGAATGGATGTGGCAATTCCAGAACTCCAGATATTTAAAACTTAATATTGAGTAGGGTAATTGAATGGCAATTTTGCTGAATTTGGACAAAGGACAAATGCTTGTTATTGTATCTCCTTATGATTTATCGTATCCATTTTTAATTTCATTGACATTATCAGCAAGAGTGGTTGGGCAAGAAATTTTGTATTTAAAGTTAAAAGCCAGCTGTTGAAAATATTAAATCACAAATGAGTTGGTGCATGTTTTAGATTAATTACCTACCAAACTTTATATTATAGGCTAAAGGTAAATGTACAACTGATCATATTAGTGCAGCTGGTCAGTGGTTAAAATATAGAGGACATTTAGATAATATTTCTAATAATTTACTTATTGGGTAGGTATTGTGATTTAATCTTTTGAAGATAATTAAAATCACGTACTTATATTGATGAAGGCAGCAATACATTATCTTGAATACTAACAAATTAAGCATTGTTATAATTACAGGGCAGTCAATGCTGAAAATGGTGAAATTAACAAAGTAAAGAACCAGCTTTCTGGTGAATATGATGGTGTTCCAGACACTGCCAGAAAATACAAGGTACAGTTAAATATCAATGAAAGGTATAGAGAGCTGCATGAACCTGAAATATCTTTGAAAAGGAGATCAAATGTATTGCAGAGATCCATTTGTAGTTTCATATTATAAAATAGAACTTATCTTAATTAGTAAGATTTCTATCTTTATACATAATACATGTAGGACACGGACCTCATTCATTCATTTAAAAAGGTAATCAGATGTTGAAACGACTCCTTTTTCATTTGTAATCATTTACGTGCTGTTGTATTACAGGCTGCTAAGGTACCATGGTGTGTAGTTGGTGATGAGAACTATGGTGAAGGTAGTAGTAGAGAACATGCTGCTTTAGAACCAAGGCATCTTGGTGGTCGAGCCATTATTGTTAAATCTTTCGCTAGAATCCATGGTAACTATCTTTATGACAGATTTCTCCTATCATACTAAATATAACCAGCCATAGCATTGTGTTAATTTTAAGAGATATTTTGTTATTATGTATAAACATCAATATGATCACAATTGATTTTGTCCTGTGCTAGCAGTTTGCTTGTAATGTCATTGGAAACCTTAAAGTTCAACATAGCTATAAAATTAGATCCAGTATAATGGTATTAATGGGATTTTAAATATAACTAGATGATGAAAATAATTAGAGAATGAACAATTCATTAAGTTTGTATGATTTGTTTTTTTCAGAAACTAATTTAAAGAAACAAGGAATGTTGCCTCTAACCTTTGCTAATCCCAGTGATTATGATAAAATTCAACCTTCAGATAGAGTCTCTTTAGTAGGTTTGGCTGAGCTGGCCCCAGGAAAGGTAGGTTTTAACTTCTCATTGGAAATGATTAATTAATGAAATTGAAATTTACTGACAAGTGTGATAAAAACAATATGTTAATATTCTTGACCCCTTGTACTTTCTATAAAAATGTAGCAATCTGGATTTGACAAATCTATAGTAATATTGGAGCAGGTGAAATGGTATAGATTAAAGGTTATTAAAAATTTCAACTCAAATGATTTATTTTGTTTGTAAATCTTGTAAATATTTGTGTATTTCAGTCTGTACAATGTGAGGTTAAACATCAAGATGGTTCTGTTGATAAAATAGAATTAAAACACACAATGAATGATGGACAGATTTCATGGTTTAGAGCTGGTAGCGCTCTTAACAGAATGGCAGAATTGAAATAATCAGCAGCAATTGTGATACACTATAGATTTATTAAGTCATATTTGACAATGCAAATAACTGGCCAGCAAAAATACTAGTTCAAGATAGAAAAGAATTTAAAAAAAATGAAATAAAAAACAGACAAGATATACATATCTTTTAAGATGGCCACATTGTATAAACTAGGAAGATTTTAGCTCTGAAAAAAAAAATACAAAAAAAAAATGAAAAAATAATGAATTTTATTATTAAAAAGAAAAAATGTCTGGTTGGCAAGTATAGAAAAAAAATTAAAATTTATTTAAGTGTATAGTAATTGTTTGTTTTAAAGAAAGAGTATTTTGTATTTTATCAAAGTTATTATTGTCTAGAATATAGAATCTCTTGGATAATTATTTCTGTTTTAAAGTATGTGTGAGACAAGTTTTAGGCCTATGTTGATTTTAATCAAAACAAAAAAAATGTAAATAAAAATTTTAATTTAAACAATTCTGTAGTTTTTATTTTTGGCCGAAGCCTCTTGACAATATACATGGATATACTATATTTCTAGGCTTATTACATACTGCGTTTCGAAACACATACTTTTTACTTAATAACGTTACCTGTATGTGTTTTGAAATGTATGTAATAAACCTAGAAGTAGTATATCCATATAACTTGTGTTCTTAATAATTACCTTCCTACTTCTAAATGTCTTAAAAAGATTAATATAATAGTTGCTTCAAAAGACATCATGTTTGTGATGTAAGAAGACTTCTACACTTTAAATTTTCAAATTCGGTTAATAGATTTAGAAACATTCTTGGCTATATCAATGGCAATCTATTTGACCTCTTGCTTTATATGATTAGTTAAGGTTATATTTTTTCCACTAAAAAGATTAGTTTTAACCAGCAGTACAGATCGAGCTGTATAAGTCCAATAAAGAGATGTTACAGAATGATAAAAGATAGTGTAAAATAAATTGAGGGATTTGTCTTTCACTAATGAAAATGTCTAGTCTTGTATAGTAATAATTAAATCAAACTGTATCGGTTATAGAACATGTTAATCTTCTTATACTTAATAATATAAGTGCTACATTGTTCTCTTGTTTTATTCCTCCCCTATTGAGACATCATCCAGTTGATAATTGGAAGTTTAGACAAGGTTAAGTGAAACCTACTGTGAGTTTGTAGGTAATTGGTTTAAAATGGACAGTAATCACACACAAATCAACTTCTCGACATCATTCAGGTTGACAGATCTCAAGCCGTATATTTTCACTAGTTTAATCATTTACTGACCAATACTATTGATTACCAACTACACAATTGTGGTTTGATTCTAACAGTACAGACAAATCGATTGTTTTTGGTGGCAAATACATAGAGTTCGTCATTGCTCCTCGTGGATCCTACCAGCCGAAAATAATGATAAAACCTACTGTATTTGAATTATAAGAGCTAAAATTTCAAGTATCTAATTTTTTTTATTTATAGTTTTTGGTATTCTGCATTGGTTTCACGTTAACAGTTAGTTTCTGATATTCTGTACAGGTTTATCATGGGGAGCTAGTTTCTGATATTCTGTACAGGTTTATCATGGGGAGCTAGTTTCTGGTATTCTGTACAGGTTTGTCATGGGAAGCTAGTTTCTGGTATTCTGTACAGGTTTGTCATGGGGGGCTAGTTTCTGGTATATTGTAAGGGGTTGTCGTTGATAGTTAGTTTCTGGTATATTGTAAGGGGTTGTCGTTGATAGTTAGTTTCTGGTATTCTGTAAGGGGTTGTCGTTGATAGTTAGTTTCTGGTATTCTGTACAGGTTTGTCGT